TATATGAGTAAGAAGTTTACACTTAACGAGGTCAGGTATTCTTTGCTTGAGCTCACCTGCTGTGCTTTGACATGGATAGCCGAGAAGTTGAGACATTATTTCTGCGCGTACACTACCTAACTCATATCAAGGATGGACCCGCTGAAGTACATCTTTCAGAAACCCATGCCTACATGCAAGTTAGCAAAGTGGAAGATATTTCTAAGTGAGTTCGACATCATTTATGTGACTCAGAAGACAGTCAAGAGGCATGCATTGGACGATCACTTGGCAGAGAACCCCATGGACGGAGAATACGAACCATTTAAGACGTATTTTCCCGATGAGGAAGTGTCATTTATAGGAGAAGATATTGCCGAACCATATGACGGTTGGAGAATATTTTTCGACGGAGTGACAAACTTCAAGACAGTGGGAATCAGAGTTGTTTTAGTATCAGAGACTGGTCAACATTATCCGATATCTACAAAACTCAAGTTCCCATACACCAACAATATAGCAGAATATGAGGCATGTATATTGGGACTCAGGTTGGCCATCGACATGAACGTTCAAGAGTTGCCGGTAATCAAAGATTTTGATCTATTAGTACACCAGGTACTAGGAAAATAAGCTACCAAGAGCACTAAAATATTGCCATACTTGTACTATGCACAAGAGTTGATTAAGAGGTTCACAAAGATAGAATTCAAACATGTTCCAAGGATTCAGAATGAGTTTGCAGATGCTTTAGCCACTTTGTCTTCCATGATACAACATCCAGACAAGAATTTCATCGATCCTATCCCAATAAAAATTCGTAAGAAGCCAGCTTATTATGCTCATGTTGAAGAAAAGTTTGACGGAAATCCATGGTTCCACGATATCAAAGAATACTTAGAGAAAGGAGAATACCCATAGAATGCTACACACACTCAGAAGTGCATGCATCAAAGATTGGCCAACCATTTCTTTCAGAGTGAAGGAATTCTGTATAGAAGGACTGCTGATTTGGGATTGTTGTGATATGTCGATGCCAAGGAGGCATCTAGATTTCTCGAAGAAATACATACCGGAACTTGCGGACCTCACATGAACGGTTTTATTTTGGCCAAGAAGATATTAACAACAACGTATTTATGGATGACCATGGAGACATACTGCATTAAATATGTTCAAAAGTGTCACCAATGCTAGATACATGCCGATATGATATGAGTGCCGCCCAACAAGCTCAATGCAATGAGTTCACCCTGGCCTATCTCTGCTTGGGTCATGGATATCATCGGACCAATTGAACCCGCTGCTTTAAATGGAAACAGGTTTATCTTAGTGGCTATAGATTACTTTACAAAATGGGTTGAAGTCGCTTCCTATAAGGTTGTGACTAAGAAGGTTGTAGCAGACTTTGTCTAGGATCATATTGTTTGTCAATTTGGAGTACCCGAGTCAATCATTATTGACAATGCCGCCCATCTCAACAATGATATAATGAAAGCTATGTGTGAAACATTCAAGATCAAGCATCGAAACTCTATAGCGTACATACCACAGGTTAGTGGAACCGTAGAGGCCTTTAACAAGAGCATCAAGAAGATATAAAGGAAAATGGTGGATAACTACAAGCAATTGCACGAGAAGCTACCATTTTCTTTGCTCGGGTACCACACCATAATTCGTATGTCAACTGGCGCAACCCCATATCTACTCGTCTATGGTACCGAAGCTGTTATTCCAGCCGAAGTGGAGATTCCTTTCTTTAGAATCATACAAGAGGCCGAGCTCAACGTCGCATAATGGATATGGAGTCGGTATGATGAGCTGGCTTTCATCGATGGTAAGAGGATGAACACAGTGTATCACGGTCAACTCTACCAAAATAGAATGGCAAGGGCTTTCAACAAAAAGCTTAGATCGAGGCAATTCACACCGGGGTAATTGGTGCAGAAATAGATCTTCTCTCATCAGGATGAAGCAAAGGGGAAATTCTCGCCCAACTGGAAAGGCCCTTACATGCTTCATCGAGTGCTGAAAGGATGAGCGCTTATACTTGCAGAGATGGATGGAGAAATATTGCCAAAACCTATCAATTTAGACGTAGTTAAGAGATATTATGTTTAAGACTATGTTTGCACTTTGTATTTAATGTAACCTGAACTACGCTTGACCTAATTCCCGTTTAAGAGGGTATACATAATAAGTTGGCTTTTTAGCCAATGTCTCTTGGCGCTTTTATAGGATTTTATGCCCCATTTATTGGGAAACAAGTGACTAATTATGCTTTGAATGGCTCGATTTCAGGTAATAAAGCTTTGAGTATGCTTAAAGAATGGAAAGGAATCAAAAATATAAAGAAAAGACTAAGTCCAAGTGAAAAATGGAAGAAAAGTTTAAGTTTGAGCTGAAGACCCTGCGTAGCCTTGTACAGGCAAACTTGCGTAGGCTATGTAGAGGAAGACCTGAGAAGTAAAACTTTAAGGATATTCTATTTTTTCCTACGGAAACTTGCATAGGCTACGCAGATATCTTACGTAGAGGAAAAAAAGCTGAAGTATTCAGACTTGCGTAGGCTATGCAATTAGCCTACGCCCATGCATCCAGCCTACGCAATTGACCGAATGGCAATTTTGTCCAGTCGTGGGACTTTGTATAAATAGCTATTTTAAGTCATTCTAGGGTATCTTTTTGGCAAGAATACTTTGTGCAGCAGCTTTTGGGATTCTTCTTTGGGGATTTTGGGTGACTTCACCATTGTTCTATACAATCTTTCTTTCCTCTTTAGCTATTATGTTTAGTTTTTCATCTCTTTTTGTATTCCCCTTTATTAATATGTCTAGCTAAGTTTATTAAGCTAGAACTGTGAACCCTAAGTGTGGTTATGCTTTTGGGTTATTAATATAAATTCAAATTTTGATTAATCTTTGTGTTATCCAATTACTCCGTGCTTTATTGATTGATTTTGTGGTTGCAAACACTAAATCCATACCTATTTTGCTTGTTCTAGCTTGGAAGAGTAGAACTTAGCTTAGGTATAAAGTAATTAGCAAGGAATTAAATGGGTTAACCATTTGATTAATGAAATCTAGCTAGGAATAATGTGATTTCTACTTGGGCTAATCAATTACTTATCATTGAGCCTTAGTTGTCTTGGAAGAGCAACTTGGGGTAGAAACCTCTTAAGTGTTGGAAGTCATTAAGTTGGTAGAATAGAAATTGAGGTCATAACACATGCTTAATTAACTAGAATTGATGATTTGTGTACCCAAAAGCATAGCCTACACGAAGGGAAGCAATCATAGCACCTTTCTCTTATTTTGTTATAACTACGTCTTATTTGCACTCTACTTATTTGATAGAATTCCTTAGTTAAACTTTAATAGTAATTATAGACATAATTGAACAACCACTCTTTGTTTGAAGATTGCATTAAGAATCATCGAGTTTGCACGCATTTGGACACTCTAACACACACCTACTCCTTGTGGGATTCAACCCCAACCTTTGTTGGGTTTATTATTGCTAACGGACCTGCTACTTTCAAATAGAGAGTAGGCTTAGATGTCATCAATTTTTGCCGCCGTTGCCGGGGAGTACGGTGTTCTTGTGTTACTTTGTTATTGTGTGTTTTCTTGAGTTCTTATCTTTTCTTAGTGATGCTTTGATTCGTGTGTGCTTGTTGTAGGTTACCAATGGCGAACAACAATGACCTTGGTGATTTGCCTTGTGGGGCCTTTGATAAAGATATGGTAGATTAAGAAGCGACTCCAGTTCAAGGAAATCGACGTGGTCGAGGTCAAAACCAACACCAACCTCCGCCGCATCCACCATCACCTCCACATGGCCAACTGGCTCAACAACATGCCACACTAAATGATGGCTATGCAAGTACAATTGTCTCCCCTCGCATTAGGGCAGGAAATTTTTAAATTATAAATGTCATGCTCACCTTGCTTGAGCAAAGAGGCTACTTCACCGGAGCACCTCATCAAAATGCATACAAGCACTTAAAGGGATTCGTAGATGCTTGTTGGGAAAATAAGCAAACAAATGTGTCCGAGCACTCTTTGAAGGTGAGGTTACTTCCTTTCTCCCTAAGAGGAAAAGCCTTGGATTGGTTGGAGCGCTTACCAAACCATTCTATCCATACTTGGGATGAGTTGGCGGAGACGTTTATTGCACAATTCTTCTCACCCGGGCACATGGCTACATTGAGAATTCAAGCAAGAACCGAATGAGCCACTTCATGAAATTTGGGAATGCTATAGAACCATGGGGAAGGAATGTCCTAACAATAATATAACCGAGAACATGATGCAACAAACCTTCTACCGTGGGATTAACACAACCAATCAATACGTAGTGAACTAATCTGCCGGTGGAAACTTTATGACCACGCCTTACCCAGAGGCGTGTTCCATACTTGATGAGATGGTGGAGACGTCATCCCCTTGGCAATCCCGAGCAAATGTTCCTCAAGGGGATCCGAATATAATTTACCTCAACAAGGAGTTGCAAGATCATGGTCAAGCCATTGCCGAGCATCGCGGCAAGTACATGTCGTGGAAGGTGTTCATGTCTTGGGTTCTAAGCAAAATATGAAGGGTAATCAACGCCAAACTCAAGAGAAGATGTACTCATAAGATAACGAACGCTACACTCAAGATGATTCTTATCAAGAGAAAAATGAGTAAGTTCAATTTATGAGCAACTATTAAAATCAACGAGGTAATTTTCAAGGATCTAGCTAAGGACAATGGAGGGAGAGTAATAACCAAGGTGCTTGGGGAAATAACAATCAAGGAACTTGGATAAATAACAATCAAGGAAACCAACCTCCTCCATATAACAACCAAGGTTACTCTTCGACTGATAACCAACTTTTAGGGATGATCGAAAGGATGCTCAAAAATCAAAAGTACTTTGACAAAGAGAGGTGAGAAATGAATCAAGTGGTGGCTTCTTATACCACTTAAATCAAGCAAATTGAGACTCAATTGGGTCAAATATTATCTCAATTGAATATGACACCACAAGGATCATTGCCTAGTGACATAATTCCAAATCCAAAGAGAGATGGGGGCATAAAGCGAGTGTTTGTCATTTCCACAAGGCGGAGCAAAATTCTAAAGAAGAGATCCATTGTAGTTAAGGATGATGATGATGAAGAGGAGTTGCCTCTCAAATATGCTTTTCCTAAAGTCAAGAATCCCAAAGTTCCTAAGGTTTCTCTTCACAAGATTGATGATACTCCTAAAGTTTATGAAGTTCCTAAGCAAAATGTACCTCTTATAGTCAATGAGACACCCGAGGTGGTTGAAGTTCCCAAGTGTGAAGTGCCAATTGTAAGTCCTATTGTTGTTGAAGAGATTCACCAAGCACCAAGAACTTCTCAAAATGACAAAGAAGTCCCTTCAAAAGAGAACAAACCAAGAAATGAGGCAAGAAAGGAGGCACCTAGAGTGTACAAGCAATTACCGAGACTGCCTCCTCCATTTTCACAAAGATTTGCAAAGCAACAACAAGAAGGTCAATTGCAACAGTTCTATGATATGTTGAATCAAATCACCATCAGTGTGCATTTTGTGGAAGCTCTTGAAAATATGTTGGGTTATGCTAAATTCATGAAGGACTTGGTCACTAAGAAGAATAATATTAATTTTGAGACCATCAAGGTCACCCACCAATATAGTGCAAGAATCTCACAAATCGGGGTTAAGAAGATGGAAGACTCGGGGGATTTCACTATTCCTTATGCTATTGGGTTGACAAGCTTCGTAAAAGCTTTGTGTGATTTGGGGGCTAGTAATAATTTGATGCCCTATGCCGTATTCAAGAAGTTAGATTTGGGGGATCCTAGACCTACCACAATGAAGTTGTTAATGGCATATAGAACATTGAAGAAACCATTGGGTGTCATCGATGATGTCCTTGTCAAAGTGGATCGATTCTATTTTCCTGCCAACTTTGTAATATTAGATTATGAAGTGGATATAGAAATTCCAATCATCCTTGGCAGGCCTTTCTTGGCTACCGGGCGAGCTATTTGTGATGTTGAAGTGGGAGAGCTCAAATTTAGATTGAATGATGAAGAGACAATTTTTCATATACAAAAGTCAATGAAACAACCAATGATTATGGTGTGATATCCGTAGTTGATGTGGTTGACGATGACATGGAAGATATTTTCATGGAAGAATCTCTATAAGCGGTTCTCCTTAATTCGAACAATGAGGCCATGGAATGGTACAATGAAGTTGTGATGGCTAAGGAGGGACTCGGTTCATATTCTTATAAGGTCGAGAACTTGTCCCTTGACTTGGAAAACCGAGTTATTCCTCCAACCAAACATTCTACCATTAAGCCACTAAAGTTCAAGTCAAATTGGGTTGATCCAACAAACTTAAGGGTGTCTCAACTCAATGCAATGGATGAATTTCAGTTTCAAGCATATAAGAGTGATTTTTCGTATAAGCAAAGAATGAAGTTCCTCCATGGAAAGAAGATCATCAAAAGGGAGTTTCACCCTGGGGACTTGGCTATTCTCAATAATTTAAGGTTTAAGTTGTTCCCAAACAAGTTGAAATGAAAATGGTCCGGGCCATTCAAGGTTATGCATGATTATCCCGTTAGTGTCGTGGATTTAGAATCTGGGGATGGCCTTAGAATCTTCAAAGTGCATGGGCATAGAATCCGACATTATTTGGGCCAATTTGATAGAGGAAACGTTGTTTTAGAAATTCAATTTGGGGAACCCCTAATGACTTGATTGGTATTGGACATTGCATCGTACCACGACATTAAATAAGGTGCTTCTTGGGAGGCAACCCCAACACTTTTTCCTTTTATTCTTGCATTTTGATTTTGTATTGGTAGTTTAGTGTGTTCTTTTTTTTCCCTTGCTTTGATGTATTTTGGGCACTAAATGTGTGTAGGCTGTAGGTTTAAAGTAAAGAGGTTGAGAAAAATTATCGAAGAAAAGATGGAGCAACATGGGAACAATTGAACCAAACCGTGAGCTAAACTATAGGCCACGGTTTAAACCATGTCAATTTCTAGCTTGCTCCACCTATGCTCCACTACAAACCGTTGGCCACGGTTTCATCAACTGTTGGCCACGGTTGATCCTGCCACCCCGCTCGGATTGAGGGAGTATTTCTTTACCCTACCCTTATACTTATTTTAATTGCATTGAGGGTAATGTAATTTTTTATGTATGGGGGAGGGGTATTGATGAATTTGGGTATGCTTGATAATTTTTGATGCCATTAGTTGGTGTTATGTTTTCTTTTTAGTCTTTTCTCTTCTTTTATTTTTGTTGATATTTTGTTTTACATGTTCTAGGAATTAGAAATAACCTCTTTGGGTCTTCTTTGTTATGGTTCTTTCCCAAAGATGCAACTTGAACCGGGTATGTTTTTAGTAGTGTCGATATCCCAAAGTCAACTTTTGACTTGTTTGGTACCAACACTACTTAGATGTATGCCTTGAAACAAGTTTTCATGAAATGCATACTTTTAAGAATTCCAGGAAGGAGTTGAGTTGATTATTCTTGGCATGATCCTTAGGTTCCATTGTTAGCTTTAATGCCAATATATAGCTTTTAGGCTATGGCAACTTTTTGCGTTCATGTGTTTCAATTGGGCTTTGAATACATATATTTCCGAGGGTCTTTCAAAAATATCCTCTCTACCCTCCGGGGTAGGGGTAAGGTCTGCGTACACACTACCCCCCCGACCCCACACGTGGGATTATACTGGGTCGTTTTTGTTGAGTGTGCATGAGCTATGTGAGGTGAGGTTGTTGTTGAGTTCTTTTATGTCAATTGTGGTCTAGAACTTGCCCCAAGTGTGTTTCGATATGAAATTCTAGGTTGTGCTTGATTTAGAAAATGTGTTTAGGCTTTCTTTGGACCGTTTGTGCCTTTAATTACCTACCCTTGACAAGATTATCCTACTCAACCCTTTTGAGCCTTTAGCCTTTTATTGTCAACCATATTACAAGCCCTTTTTTTCCTTCTTATGATAACCTCTCTTGATACCCCGACTTTCTTAAGTGCTTGAAATTACAATCTAGACCAAAAGCCTAAGTTTGGGGGATGAGATGGAAAAATTGTGATGTGGAAGCTACTTGAAGGTGAAGCAACAAGAACACTAAAAAAAGGAAAATAAAGAGTTTAAATAAAAAGGGAAGACTAGAGACTCATGACAAAGGTAGTGATCACAAAAGGAAATCCTTGCGAACTAAGGAGCTTCAATGGTGTAATTCAATCATATCGCCTAGTTGAAAAGGAGAGCAAAAAAGGTGGAATTTTGAAAAGAATTGTGTTTTGAATTGTCAAGATTGTAGTGCTTAGGAAGGTCGTAGTCAATCTTTACCCATATTGATGCCCTACCTCCAACCAAAAGCCTACAATATATTTCCGCAAGTCCTAAATGATTTTGAACTTGGAACACCTATATTAGTGGAGATCCACGCGATGGGCAAGCCTATGGTTCTGCTTTTGTACATTTGAACTTCTTTTGAGAGAGAGAGAGTGCTTATTTCTTTTGTTCATATCCCACTTTTGCCTTGAAACTATAGTAATGTGTGTGGGAATCTCTCTTGATTTGTGAGGGCAGATGAAAACTCGAGTGTGGTTAATGTTTCTTTTCTCAATTGAGACACATAAACAAAAGAAAGTGGCCTTGTGACTTAAAGATAACTTTAAAAGCTTTGGGATCATAGTTTAAAACCTTCTTGACCTGCATGGTACTCATGTGGTTTTGAAATTGAATCCTATGAAAGTTGTTGAGGGTCATGCATTTGAGTATAGTTGTGGTACCAACCGAAGTCGTGGGTTTTTGTGCTTGACTGCTTCTTAGCTTGGTTGTGATACTAGCTTTAGCTTGTGATCTTAAATGTTTAATAGCTTCAATGAATTGATGCCTAAGTCTTAGTCTTGATTTGTTTGAGTACAACCAAACTGTAAGTTTGGGGGAGTTGATAAGTTGGCTTTTTAGTCAATGTCTCTTGTGTTTTTATAGGATTTTATGCCCCATTTATTGGAAAAAAGTGACTAATTATGCTTTGAATGGCTCGATTTCAGGTAATAAAGCTTTGAGTACGCTTAAAGAATGGAAAGGAATAAAAAATATCAAGAAAAGACCAAGTCCAAGTGAAAAATGGAAGAAAAGTTGAAGTTTGAGCTGAAGGCCCTGCGTAGCCTTGCGCAAGCAAACTTGTGTAAGCTACGTAGAGGAAGACCTGAGAAGTAAAGCTTTAAGGTCATTTTGTTTTTGCCTACGCAAACCTGCGTAGGCTACGCAGATATCTTACGTACAGAAAAAAAAGCTGAAGTGTTCAAACTTGTGTAGGCTACGTAATTAGCCTACGCCCGTGCATCCAGCCTACGCAATTGGCCGAAGGGCAATTTTGTCCAGTCGTGGGGCTTAGTATAAATAGTTATTTTAAATCATTCCAGGGTATCTTTTTGGCAAGAATACTTTGTGCAGTAGCTTTTGGGATTCTTCTTTGGGGATTTTGGGTGACTTCACCATTGTTCTACACAATCTTTCTTTTCTCTTTAGCTATTATGTTTAGTTTTTCATCTTTTTTTGTATTTTCCTTTCCTAAGATGTCTAGCTAAGTTTATTAAGCTAGAATTGTGAACCCTAAGTGTGGTTATATTTTTGGGTTATTAATATAAATTCAAATTTTGATTAAGCTTTGTGTGATCCAATTACTTTATGCTTTATTGATTGATTTTGTGGTTGCAAACACTAAATTCATGCTTATTTTTCTTGTTCTAGCTTAGAAGAGTAGAACTTAGCTTAGGTATAAAGTAATTAACAAGGAATTAAGTGGGTTAACTATTTGATTAACGAAATCTAGCTAGGAATAGTGTGATTTCTACTTGGGCTAATCAATTGCTTATCATTGAGCCTTAGTTGTCTTGGAAGACCAACTTGGGGTAGAAACCTCTTAAGTGTTGGAAGACATAAGTTGGTAGTATAGAAATTGAGGTCATAACATATGTTTAATTAACTAGAATTGACGATTTGTATACCCAAAAGCATAGCCTACACGAGGGGAAAGCAATCCCAGCGCCTTTCTCTTATTTTGTTATAACTACATCTTATTTGCACTTTACGTGTTTGATAGAATTCCTTAGTTAAACTTTAGTAGTAATTGTAGACATAATTGAACAACCACTCTTTGTTTGAAGATTGCATGGAGAATCATCGAGTTTGCACGCATTTGGACACTCTAACATACACCTACTCCTTGTGGGATTCGACCTCAACCTTTGTTGGGTTTATTATTACTAACGACCGTGCTACTTTCATATAGAGAGTGGGATTAGACGTCATAAATACGTAGGCAGCCTTGTGGGTTTGGTCTCATCATAATAAAATACTCCTTCCCCTCTATGGTCAGAAACTAGGGCATAATTTCGAGTTTGTCAGATCTCATTATGTCAAGGATCACCAAGAAGAGTATTGCCAGAAGTATGCATTTAAATTGGGGCAGAATTTTGAGGGTCCTCAAAATTCCGAATTGAGGAGTTTGCAATGTCTCAAAACGTGTCACGGTCTGCGATCCGAACATTATTTGTTTTATGCATCATCACATATTTTGAACAAACTGCATTTTTTTATATAAACGATTTATCACAAATGCATGTTTTCAAAAATTTCATTTTCTGTAATAGCCAGATGTTACCTAGGGTGACTCGAACAAGGCAGCAAGACAAGGAGCAAAGGCGAGATGAAGAATCAAAGGCACAAACCAACCTTTCCCCCACAACTTACAATTTTTCTTTGGATGCAGTCACAATGGACATAACAAGCACGCCCGCAAATATATACATACAATAAGATCACTATCTTCACACCAAGGGAAATCGCCAAGCAGAAACGCGTCAAGCTAAGATTTATTTTTCCTATTACATTTAATCATTGCTCTTCCCATATAGGGCTAAACACTGCCCCTACCATTGTATAAGGCTAATAACTGCCTTCCCCAGCAGATTTGGAATACTAAAAGAGAGAGCCTGCGATAACGGGCCATAGTTTATAGGCGCAAAGATTACAAATTTCCTTGAAGATTTGAAAATCAAAAGGATCACATCTTTGGCCTATCATCCTAGTGCAAATGGTCAAGA